GCCATTTGTGACGTATTTCATCGCTCTCTTTATGATGGAGTCGTTCTTGGATGCAGATTGTATTTCAGCTGCTGAGACTGGCAAGGCACGAATAGCAGTTGTCAGGTAGCACTGCGCGTAGTCCTCGGTCATCAGGGAGGCAATAACTGTATCTTCGCCGGCCGTATGGTGTTCGCTGATAAGTCGTGACAAGGCGTCAGCCTGACCAAACTGTTGAGTGCGCCGACACTGAATGTCAAAATCATAACCCAGAAGTATCAAAGCCCATCGTTGGAGACGGTTTGCAGAATGGGCTGGAACACCAGATTTCGAACCGAAAATTGTGAGAAGAGGCTTGTGATCAGTGAGAAGAGTAAATCTTCGACCGTACAAGAATTTGTGGAAACGGCGTACTGCAAACACAAGTGCAAGCGCTTCTTTTTCTATCTGGCTGTATTTTTTTTCTGCTGGGGTTAGTGTACGGGCTGCATGCATAATGGCTTTTTCCGACGCATCCGGAAACTGATGGGAGATAACAGCGCCTAGGCCATTCGCTGAAGCGTCTGCAGCTACGATGATCGGCATGGCTGGATCGTAGTGTGTCAACAGCAATTCAGAACTAATAATGGACTTCAGTTTACAAAAGGCAGTGTCACACTGTTTTGTCCAGTTCCAAGAGCTGTTCTTCTGCAGTAAGCTATTGAGTGGAGCGCGAATATCATGCATCGATGGAACGAACGCTGAGTAATAGCTGACAAGTCCCAGGAAGGAACGTAGTGCCGAGACATTAGTGGGAGTGGGCATCAGTTTGATAGCTCGGATATTCTCAGGATCCGGCCTGCGGCCGTCGGCATCGAAAATGAACCCCAAGTATTTTACCGACTGCAAATAAAACTGGCATTTCTCTGGGCGTAACCGGAACCCGTTGTCACTGATGCGTTGCAGTACCAATGTCGTGCGTTCTCGTAGTTGTTCTAATGTCGTTGCTACAATTAAAATGTCATCCAAATAAGCCGTGACTCCCGAGATACCTGATAGGATGGTATCCATTAATTGTTGGAAAATAGATGGTGCAGTTTTGACTCCGAAAGGTAGACGGTTATACTGGAACAAACCACGATGAGTATTGATAGTTAACAGCTCTCTTGATGCTTCGTCTACTTCCACTTGCAAATAAGCATCAGCTAGATCCAGCTTAGCGAAAAATCTTCCCCCATTCAGCATGGTAAATAGGTCTGCGGGAACAGGCAAGGGATAATGATGTTGTTCTAGAGCTGCATTGAGACCTGTTGAAAAGTCAGCACATATACGTGTCGTACTGTTGGCTTTCTTAATAATTACAATAGGTGCTGCCCATGCAGAGTAGGAAACGGGAGTAATAACTCCTTGTTGTTGAAGGCGGTTCAATTCTTCATCTACTGTTTGTAATGTTGCATAAGGCAAAGGTCTCTTTGGGCGAAAAACAGGCTTAGCCCCAGTTTTCAATCGAAGTGTTGCTTTCATGACAGAGCAGCGACCCAATCCAGGCTGGAAAATAGTTGAAAACTGCGTCATTAGGGTGCTCGTATATGATTCGAAGTCATGTGGTTGTTGTCGCAGTTGTGGTTGTGATACCAGGTTGCATATGGTATTCAACGGGACATCAGCTAATTTTAAGTGATCAAACCAATCTAACCCGAGCAAATTTAGATCAGCTGGGGTTATGTAGCATACCCCAACAAATGCCAAATCACGGAAGGTAACTGTACATTCCATTTTTCCTAGCAGGTGAAGGTAATTACCACAGACAGTACGAGGCTTTTGCGTTGTATGCTGCAAGTTTGGGCTGCCCATTCTGATCCAAGTCTTACGAGAGAGGATAGTGACATCTGATGCTGTATCTATTTGCAATTTAGATGAATGCCCATTAATGTTAACAGTAATAAATTTTCTCTGACTTGGTGATGAGCTTTGACACGAAGATACTATGCTCAATGAACTGGTGCGGGATCTAGGACGGGTCTTGTTGGTATTTCTTGATTGACTTGGAGTCTTCTTCCTCATACAAAACCCATCCTTATGACCGACAACCTTACACTTCTTGCATCGATGTTGTTTAAATGGGCAGTTTCGAACGTAGTGCCATGCACCACATTGCCAGCAAGGAGCAGGAGGAGTTGCTTTAGTCTGTCGTCTAGAGCTGGAGTGAGATGGACTGGATGAAGCGGGGACGTGTTTGTTTTTGTGAGGTGTCCGTTGCACCGCTCGTACTTCAAATCGGCTAGAACCACCACTCTGGACCATAGAAGTGTCTCGTTGAAGATTAATGAGACGTTGATATTCATTAGCTATATCACTCAGGGTGAGTTTCGGTTCTTGATCCAAACGACTTAGTAGCCTTGTTCGTAAGTCACTGAACTTTTGGTGCTGTAGGCTGCAAATAAGGATCAGGGCTTTAAACTGATCTTCAGTCAAGGACTTTAACCGGAAGCGTTCGCATTCACGGTTGACGACGCCCACATGCGTAAGAAAATCATCATCTTCGTTCATAGTTAGCTTCAAGCAACGATAACGAGTATTAAACAGTGACGAGTTATCGCCAAAATGTTGGATTAATGTTTGAACTGTGTCTGCAAATGATCGGTCACGTGGGTTCAACGGCAAGATCAGATTGCAATACTTGTCCAGCTCATTTGCACCCAGTTTACGAAGTAGCAGCCGCACTTTCCAAGCATCATCTTGATTGGCGAAATCAAATTTAAATAGATCTTCATAACGCCTGAACCACATTTCAAAAGTAACATTAGAATCAGGATCGTAATGAAATTCAGCTATGCTATTTGCGATGCCATCTACTGATGGTGCCGTGGTTGAACTAGACGTGCTTGGCTGTAAGGGAGGCGTAACCTTGGTCTCCATTAACATTTGCATCAATTTTAGCTGCTCCTCAAGTAACAGTTCAAGTTTGGTAGGGTCCATAATCGAAAAACCACCGTCGCCAATTTGTTATGTTCGTTATTGCTTGAATGCGATTACGATGCGTCTTACTCGAACGAAACGAATGATCAATGATTCAGCGACTCGATAGACTATTCTGGTCCGTTGTCTTCGACTCAGCTAACTCGATCAAGAAGTCTGGGTAAGGTGTAGAAAGTGTATTCTACAGACAAACAGCAGATAACAAGTCAGGCAGGCAGATCAGATCAAGCATACAAGTCAAGCGTATTTATACAATTATTTACAATCGATATTGTCATAGAAAATTTTTAAACATTAATCAATGAGTTCATTAATTGACCTATTTGCGCATTTAATCGATAGTTCATCAACTGATCTATTTGCGCATTTAATCGATAGTTCATCAATTGACCCCAATAAAAATATCTAACATTTAATCGATAAGATGATCGGTAAGATAAAATTTAAAAATATGAGTTTGGGGATCTATCGTCCCCAACACTTTGTCGATAATAAATAGGATAGCATTCCTAATGAATAAAGCAACTCCCCCTCCTTTACGCTTTTGTATTCTTTCGTCCCTTACTAACGTAAAACCCTCGAAATCGAATTCCATACTATCTATGGACTGTGTCAGCCAGGTTTCTGTGACTGCGATTATGTCTGGCTTCGTAGAGTCAATCTGCACACCTAGTTCCGACCGCTTATTGAGCAATTTTCAGGCATTAGTGTAACAGATCCGAAACCTATTTAAATGGCTTCGTGTTGCATCCAAAGTGACATTGGCATCATTTTCTGTCGAAGCCTCACAACTCGGAAATTTACAACTTTTATGTCCTTTTCTTCAGCGTCTAACCTAAGTTGTAGGTCTTTTTCTTTTGTCCTTACGGACAAAAACTCCTAAACCGTTTAATTTATGTTTATTCTGTAAAATTAAGTACCGTTCATTCGGGGATTTGAATACTACTATGAGCAGTCTGGTTTGATTAGGCTTCAGGTTTGCTTGACTAGGTAGTCTATACACCTTTATCAAGGTGACTCCTGAGACATTTTTGGGCATAATTTGATTAAGTAGCTGTTTTATCAGCACAATTTCATGCTCAAAACAAGTTTTCAATTCAGAGTCTTCACTCTCCTTGATTCTATAAACAATAACTGACCTGTCACTGTGTTCAGTCTTCAGTTTCTCGACTACTTTCATAGAGATAGGATTCCCTTTTATATAATTATGTCGTTTATTGCTTACAACCTATGCCCATTCATCAACGTTGGTTGGATTAGCAACGACAGTCGCGTCAAACATACTGTGGGATTCCGGAAGGTTGTCGACGATTTGGGAAGTCAGGTTGTGTTTCCCGCTGGAAACCGATCGAGTCTTGCGGCTGCGGCTTCTAGGCGTTTCCTGCTGGATACCATTTAGAAGGCGGGGAATAGAGAAAATTACTCCCTTGAGTTGTTAGTTAAGACAGACCTCTTTGAAGACTGTCTTTCCTCCTTTGATCGATGTAAGTCAGTCGTTTCCGAACTCACCTGAGTTTGCTTCACACTAATTTGCGTGTCGACAGAGCCAGTGCTGTCCGTTACGTTCCGACCACGCTTACTAAAACACTCTTTTGCAGCATTTACCATTGGGACGGCCTCGGTTAGCAAGCTGTTTGCATCCGAACAGCACTACTGACAAAGCCATACACAACCCTTCTTACTGAACCATTTTAAAGCCGCAGGCGTTAAGTTCGTGCAAAATTCGTGGTACCAGCTTTTGCACTCATCGCACTGCCTGCCGCTTTCAACGGGATATCGACAACCCGGATGTTGGCGATTGCTTTTCTTAAAGTGAACAAGATACAATAGTACCCAGAAACAAAAATGATCTATGACCAAAACAAGTGGAAAACTGTAGATTATTAGAACCAAAAGTACTAATCGATACAATAGAAAACAAAGTACTCAAAAGTACCGACAATAAACTACTTTAGAAACAGGAACGATATTCTAATCGTATACTTTAACTGAAATAAATTCAGTTAAAGTGTAAACAGTAGTCTTGATACGTAATAAACGATCAAAACAATATAATTTACTCAGCGAGAAAAAGTATCACTGTCTTTTTAAATAGCGCGCGCAGAGATATACAGACAAAAATACGCCTAGGTAGATAAGGCATATATGTAAGAAGTAAGTAGGTACAATACGAGTAGCGGAACTAACAGTTACACATATATGAGTCCATAGGCGTGTTAAGGATTATGAAATTACCATTCAGATTTTTATGACCCTGGTGTTCTAAGTTCGTTTACATAATGATAGGTCTGCACAAGGGTGCAATTAAAGTGTTGCTGCATAATTAATTTCTTTGTCTTGTTGTCCGGTTTATGCAAGACTAACACGATTACTGTTAAATCGTCCTATGATGATTTACATCTAGCATTCTCAGTAAATGGTGACTGAAATAAAAAATAAGGTGACTCATTCAATCATTGATCAATAAAGGTGCAAAGTGGTCGCAAAGTCCAAAAAACTTTTGTATTAATGTACTTTTACCGTGTTTGCTCGAGGAAATGTTGTTTCCGGTTAACTTTGCCCAATCTTCCTGATGTTGTAAAACACTCATTACATACAGGAAGTTCTTACCATGATTTTGTACTTAAAACTGCATATCGTATCATTAGGGAGTAATTTATTCCAGAATGCATATATATATATATATATATATAGTTATGTGTGCTACTTATGTTGACAGACATAAGTAGTGTGTAACACCAATCAAAAGTTAAATGGATGGCAGCAGAAGGCTAAGAAGATCGAATTGAAGAAAACAGAACTGAAGTTAAGAAGGAATTGTGAAGTGAAAAAGTCATACAGTGTGTGAAGGACAAGTGATGGAAATTTGAAAATCAAGTATTCGATGTACGGTTTTCATATTTTCCTTAAATACTCTGTAATTTTGTAAGGAAATACAATTAGCTGTCTTCATTTATCTTCTTGTTCATTGCATAATGAATGTAATTCTCATAGTAAAGTCTACAAGAATGTGTTTAATAAATTGATAAAGAAACCACTGAACTAACTGGAAGCTATGTGATATAAGTGAAGTGTGGCGTCGAGCCGCGGTTGACTATGATCACCACTACAGGAAGGTTGTGTACGAAATATCAGAAGGCGATTGAAGGTTGTAGCGAAGTATATTTATTGGTGATCTCGTGGTATCGAAAGAATATCGAGATCGTACCAAAGGAGTACAAGCGAATTTACTGAGCAAACGTAAGTTCGTCCAAGGTCACTACCAACGGAAGGAAGAATGGAAGAATAATAGATGTCTTTAGCATAGTTAAACAAACAAGCACAGTAAAACAGTCACTGGTACAATTGGTTATAATAATAATTGTTTCCATTAAACCAATCGCGTTCACTTGATGAAAGTAGGTCACTACATAAGGAACCATAAACAATAAAGATGTAACTAAAGTTATTTTTTTTTGAGCTAAATAGATGTAGTCTCACTTTCCTTTGCTAAAACACTAGTGGTGACATTGGAAAATTAAGAGCAACCATAGTTGAAAAAAAACAGCTCATCAACTATGCTAAAGATATTTCATGGATGGATTACAATGATGATATGTAATGAAGGGTTAGCTTTAGCAGGGTCTAGTGACATTATGATCAAGTTTTTAATACATTTCACTTATATACTCTTCATAAACGTAGTTTATAAAAAATAATTTTAAACTATGTGATTGATTCCCAAGGTGTAATCCACTGGTTTTAGGATAAAAGTAGGCACCTGGCGGCACTACATATACGGGTAAAAGAATGAGTTATTATTCGAGGTGAAAAAGGACATTTGATCGAGTGTAAAGACAAATCTTGATTACAAATTTGACTAATAAGGGGATAGAAGCGAAACATATCATTATGAACCAGAAACAAAGCGAGTATAATGAATAGATATTACCACAACAACAAAAGGTGGACAACAGAATAAAAATTGTTGAAGTTTCTTCTTAATAATAAATGCAAAGCGTATCATAACTTCTACCACGCAGTCACTAGGCTATGTAACAAATATCAGCTGAAAGCTGGTTACTTCATAGATGATTAAGTTTTAGTAGACTGATGATTACTGTATTTTCATTATCCTGTTTACTCAAGGTAAAGTATTTCAATTTTCATTAGGTAACTGCGTTGTGCAGTCGATAATCTATGAAAGATTACGTGCCGATTAAAATGTTTCTTGAATGGGAATACACTATAAGATAAACAAACACACATATTCGTGAAAGGTATAAAAACCACTTACAACTGTCTTTAAGTGATAAGTTGTAATTTGTTATGTAACAAATATTGATTTCACAGTTAAGCAATTGATTAGCGTCATCCATTCCACACAGTAATAATTATAATAATAATAAAACTATCATGATAGATTGTGTAATTGGCAGTGAACTCGAGTAACGTATGCGGGATTGTGGATGAACACTGCACAGGAGTTTTATGCTATAACGGAACGGCCGTTCAGTGTTTCCAGCTATTCAGTAGTAGTCTAGCGTAAATCAACTCATCCATTCAAATAGTAAAAATTACTACAATCTCCACAAACCCTCATTCTAACCATAATCATCATCATGTGCTCACTAGGCACTGGGTTCAAGATGGATTTCATGGAATTCTAGTGAGAAGGGTTGCACAAGATTATAGATTGATTGAAGTTACACATTAACACCGTTAGGTGGTGACTTAAAGGTCTAGAGGTTAAGCGTTCGTGCACGAGACCGAAGGTCCTGAGATTGAGTCCCCTATGCTAAATCATAGATGTGCACTATTCAGGAGTCACAATTGATTGATCACTGGGTGGTGATCAATCTCATGCTTGTCTAGTCCTTATTAGTGCAGATCGAATGCTATCGATCATGTTGCAATGTGGCCACCAGTCTAGGTGACTCGACACTGCGGGCACTATATAATGAGATTAGATGGTGGTTGGAGGTAGTCAACAGGAAACCCTGGACCCGGGTTTCGTGCTACTTGGCACTCGTCATCTAATCTCATTACATAGTGCCCGCAGTGTCGAGTCACCTAGACTGGTGGCCACATTGCAACATGATCGATAGCATTCGATCTGCACTAATAAGGACTAGACAAGCATGACATTGATCACCACCCAGTGATCAATCAATTGTGATTACATCTCAGTCCTACAGGAGGTTAGTCACGGCTCGGATAGCTCAGTGGTAACGTCTCTGACTGTGAAGCTGGGTGACACGAGATCGAATCCGCCAGGGAGCACCAGTTCCCTCAAGATTACAGGTACACCTTGCTGACGAGTGCCAAGTAGCACAAAACCCGGGTCCACGGTTTCCTGTTGACTACCTCCTACCACCATCTAACTGTTCAGGAGTCTCATACTAGAATAAAACAACCGTCTAGTACTTCCAGATTTTTGAATGTCAATGTAGCTCAAATCGACTCATGAATTCAACTATTAAAAATGACTACAATCTCTTTACAAATCCTCATTCATTATTCTTCAAAACAGATGGATCAACATATAACGAGAACAAAACATTTTCACTTACTTGTTTCGTTTTTTTCGATAAAACAAAAACAAAATAAAAGAAAGCTGAAAACGCATAAACACACCCATTCACACACACACAAATACAATCAAATTGATTTCATTATTATGTAATAATATAAAAAATAAACATGAAAGAAAAACACCCAACTCAATATTAAGTAGTATATATCTAAGTTACCAAAAATAACTGATCAATTATAAAATAGAGGAATATTGATTGAGAGTAATGGAGTTTTCTTTTATTTTTTCCTTTTTGTTGTTTTTCTTCTCATTAAAAAAGAAAATTGTTACCATGTGTATTAGTCAATTCAACGAACGTGGATTAATCTATTGATCTAATTTACAATGATCAGACAAAATAATAAACAAAAAAAAGAGAGAAAAATTCCGAAAATAAAAAAAAGTTTATTCTATAATCTGTGAGAATGTTTTTTCTTTTTTTTCTTTTCTTTTTGCTTTGAAGATGAAAATGTTTCTTTGTTGTTGTTGTTGAAATAAAAAATAATTCAGCATATCCAAAAAAAGAAATATGGAATGGAATGTTTCCAAGTGTTTGGGCAACAAATACAAATGCATTACATAAGACAATAAAACTGGAAAATACTTGATCCATGTATACTTCAACATGTTGTATAGATATAGATCTATCTATCTATCTATCTATCTATTTATTGTTTAACGTAAAGTATGTGGTGGTCCAAATATTTGATAAAGCATAAAAAATGCTAATTCATGACTACTCCAATAACTATTATGTGCACCTAATATAGCAAGTGGTGAAAATGATTTTTGCCATTCATAATCAACACGACGTCGAAGTTGTTTTTCATTCATTGTTGGCATTGAACGCATTTGACATAATATTGGATTTAAATTAGTTACATTAGATGATCGTCTAGTTATATAATTACTGAATATTTTCACTAAATAAAAAGAAAAGAAAAGAATATTGTAGAATTTAACTTATTACGTAATTTATAAAAAAAAAGAAAGGAATAAAAGCAATTTTAAGCAAAGATGAATAATGGCTAGCAGTGGAATACAGTTTGACGCATGTTTAATCCTATCTTTGTGACTCATCAACTGGGTGTATGTGCATCTCAGAGTTGGTGTTGATTACGGGACTCGAACCCGGTATCGTTCGCTTCAAACTCCATCACATAGCTAATTCACCCCACTACACAAACAGGTGGCTATAAGGACTCAATAGCTAAGTGGATAATGTGATGGCGTTTGAAGTGAACGTTACTGGGTTCAAATCCCAGAACAAACACCAACTCTGAGATGCATGTACATCTAGTTGACAAGTCCCAAATAGGATGAGACATGTATCCTGAATTCCGCTGCTAACACAATTCTACACTTTTTGAAACTGATCCATTATTTTTTTTCGATCGACTATTTATTTTCACAAAAACAATCACTATCCATTCAATATTAAAACTTAATTATTAACACTACTAAATTAATAGATGAATTCATGAATTAATTGAAGCTAGACCAACATGAAAAACCTGTCAGTACTGGACGGCGTATCGACTATCCTACCTGGTGAGATTCGAACCCAAAACCTATCAATCTTGCACGCAAGAGCTTAACCGCGAGACCACTGAGCCGGCCGGCATCCAACGGTATTAATGTCTAATTTCAACTAAATCCACTACTAACTTAATCTTATTTATAAATTAATGAAAATTAAAGTATTTGTAAACTTTTAAAAAGTAAAAGTACTATAGTTTTCAGCTAATTTAATTTCTAACTATATTGATTGATGATGTGATCATTAGAACACATGACAATTATATGTGTTGTGTTGTGTTTTTTTGTTGTGTTTGTCTATAAACAACTACAAATCTCTTCTATATCGATAATTATAATTACAATTAATTGATTTACGAATAATGCCCCCCCCGTCCCAAAAATAGATATCAACTAGAAATTGATTAATAAGGAACAGAAAAGAATCGACAATTATTATGTCCTTGAGTAAACAACTACATAATTCAATATGTAATGAAAGTTAGAATTTTAAGATTGAACAATAAAAAGAGACTGATAGGTTCTAGGTTCGAATCTTGTGAGGGGGGAATAGTGGATGTGAACTGTTGAGGAGTACAATACTAGGACGAAATGGTCATCCAGTGTTTCCAGGTTTTCTGTGGTGATCTAACGTCAATTAACTGATGAATTTAACTACCTTAAACAATACAATTAACTAATTAAGTTCTAATTGTATAATGTATATAAAAAAACGTTAATCAATTTGTAATCCAATGAGATAATCATCAACTGTCATTGATATGTAACCTCCTTAATTGTTACATTACAAATTTCATAGTTCAAGAGCCATTATTTAAATTCTGACAAATCACCTTCAAAGAATAATGATTAAATTGATGATAAAATTTGTTTGAAATCATGAGTCGATTGAAGCTAGACAACCATGAAAAACCTGGAAGCACTGGACGGCCGTTTCGGCCTGAGGAGTCGCACACTAGGACGAAACGGCCGTCTAGTGCTTTCAGGTTTTCCATGGTTGTCTAACTTCAATTGACTCATGATTTCAACCAGTGAAATTTCTAAAATCTCCACAAAACTCCTTATGATTAAATTTGTATTTGAGTTATACGAATTCTTCACGAAACTACAAATCAGAGACATGAACGTATTAAATTTCTGGATTGTTGGAGATTATTAAACTCCAAATAAAGGGCTATTCTTTTTGTTATTGTTTGTTCATTTGACATTAGTTTGCATAGAGAATCATCTGTGAACCTTATAGAAATTTTATAACCTATCTCAACAGTCTAGTGAAGATTACTTTATTGGTTTGTATGTGATGCTCGTCATAGATTGACTTCAGTTGGAGTAAGATTTAAAAACTAGAAAGTACTGGATAAATGGTTTGTTCTAATAAGGGACTAATTAGAAATGAGTATAAGTGATCACAACAGGAATTGAGCTTAAGACTTTCAATTTCTAAAGTGAACATTTCAATTTATTCTTTGAAGTCATGATTAGTGTAGTTCAGCTACAATCTGGAGTGAATTATTAACATCGAACCATTTTAAGAATTAATTCAAATCGAAAATGGATCTTTACAAAACTTGAAGGTACTGTGTTAACTCCTTGACAAAGCTATGGATGCCTTTATCTGAAGATCTCAATAATAAAGTGAGACAACTCTCTAGTAATTTCTGGATTTGGAAAACAAGAACATGCTATAATCATAAGAAGATAAAACAGAATAACAACTCAATTGTTGAACATTTTTCTTACTTGCTAATGATTGATGTTGTTTATAAACGGAATTTTCATCCACAACACTTAAACGTTTGAAAAACTTAAAATGAAATAGAATAAAACAAAATAAATACAATAACAGTTATATTATGAGTCAAATAGAACATTCATTTAAGCATCAAATGGAAGATAAATACAGGAATATGATTAAATAATTGTAGTGTCGGTTATTATATTAAGCCTATATATACTTTATTCGGACAGACCAATCTATTCATTCCAGTTGAGTTACATTTTGACCTTGTTAATTATTCACTTGTCAATTTTGACTGTTTTTATATGAGCGTATTATGTGTGTGTGTGTGTGCCCTTCTTATCTTATTCATCATATAGCTGTAACTTATTTTTGTGTAATTATAAATATTGATTAACGCTTGACTAAAGGGAGTTGGCTTACCCGCTTTCGTTCTATTCCATTCGCCTCATATACAACTGACTCATGATCTTAACCTTTAAAATACTACAATATCCACAAAACCCATCTGATAGTGATCAACATATGCCCACTAGTGACTGACTTCAAGAGGTATATCCTGGAGTTCTAGTGAGAAGTAGTGACCAGTGGAGTTCAACCAGGTCAGTTGTGAGATAGTAACTCACTAACGACAATGGTGGATGTGTCGCTCAATTTCGTGAATTAGTTGAAGTTAGACAATAACACGGTTGGATGCCGGCTCAGTGGTCTAGTGGTTAAGTGCTCACGCGCGAAACCAGTAGGTTCTGGGTTCGAATCTCGCACGTGGCGAGGTCGTGGATGCGCACTGCTAAGGAGTCCCACAATAGGACGAAACAGCCGTCCAGTGCTTCAAGGCATTCCATGGTGGTCTAGCATCAACTGACTCACGATCTCAACCATTGACTAACGCGATTTAAGTCGATGATTATATACGAGGATAGGCGACATATATATTTCAACAACAATCATCATTACGATCTCCTTGGAGTCAGATCCACGGGCCACTAAATAATAATAATAAAATAATAATAATTATTATTATTATTTTAGTAATGGAATTATTAAATTCATATTGAGAGGTAGTTAATTACTAAAGTAAATCAGATGTATAATGATAAAGAACTATTATATCATATAAAGTCTAAATTTAAAGAGTACAAATCAACAACTGTTCATTTAACCATTCGAAAAGATAATGTCCTGATATTAACACTCGAATCAAGTGTGATCCATAAGATTGAGATCCAGTTTATATGGTTTATTTTGTCCTAATGCATTATGTATGATAGGTATAATATTACACTAGATGATCTAAATTAGAGTACATGTAGTGAGATTTGAATCAGTAACTTAATATGGTTGAAATTCAATTGAATTAATCATTGAATCGATAGTATATAAACATTTCAATGAATTTCGTCCGATAATCAAGTACAGTTCAAGATTTGGTCATTGATTAGTGACCGATTTCATGTTCGTCTAGTTCTCTGGATTTAGTCGAGTTCTATCTATTGACTTGTAAGATGGCTACTCTTATCAATACGAGTTCCAGTCCAAAAGATAAAATGCGCTTTCTGGATTCCACTGTTATCCGCTATAACAACGTAGTTTATTTAGAAAACTGAGTATCAGCATCCTGAATATACTTACTCCTGTTACTCACAATGGAGCATAGGCCGCCAACCAGCATTCTCCAACTCACTTTGTCCTCCGCCTTCCTTTCCAGTTCTATCCAATTGTTGTTCATTCTTCTCATGTCTGTCTGTATCCATTTCTCGGCGTACTGTGTTCTTTGGTCTTCCTCTCCTCCTTTGGCCGTAAAGATTACAAGTGAGGCAGTTGGGTGCTTTCCTCAATGTGTGCCATATCCACTTCCAGAGGTTCTTCCTGACTTCTTCGTTCGTTGGGATCTGGTTTGTTCTCCCACATAGTAGGTTGTTGTTGATATTGTGTGGCCAACAGATCCGAAGTATTTTGTGTAGACAACTGTTAATAAACACTTGTATCTTCTGGATGATGGCTTTCGTAGTTCTCTAAGTTTCCACCCCATACATTGGCACTGTCTTGAAATGTGTATTGAAAATTCTGACTTTGCTGTTGGTTGACAGATAGTCGTTTGGAATTCCACATGTTCTTCAATTGTAAATATGCTGCTCTCGCTTTTCCGATCCGTGCCTTCACATCTGCATCAGATCCACCGTGTTCATCAATGATGGTACCAGATATGTAAAGGTTTTTATATCTTCCAAATCTTCTCAGTCAAGTGTGATTCGATTGGTGCTTGCTGTGTTGTATTGCAGAATCTTGGTTTTCCAATTGTGTATATTGAGACCTACTGCTTCTGAGGCTGCTGCTACACTGGTCGTCTTCTTTCGCATTTGTTGTTGCGTGTGCGATAGAAGAGCCAGATCATCTGCAAAGTCTAGACCATCCAGCTGCATTCTAGCTGTCCATTGTTTTCTATGCTTCCCCGCAGATGTTGACGTCTTCATGATGCAGTCGATCACCGGGAGAAAGAGAAAGGGTGAGAGTAGGCAACCTTGCCTGATACCGGTATTTACCTCGGACGAGTCTGTGAGCTGTCCTTCATGCAGGATTTTGCAGTTTAACCCATCGTAGGAACTCCGTATGATATTGACTATCTTCTCAGGTACGCCGTAGTGTCGAAGAAGCTTCCATAGTGTTGTTGTGTCCACTCTGTCAAATGCTTTTTCGTAGTCAATGAAGTTGATGTAGAATGATGAATTCCATTCAATTGATTGTTCCACAATGATCCGTAGTGTTGCGATTCGGTCTGTACACGATTGATTCTTACGGAATCCAGCCTGTCGGCCTCACAGTTGGGTGTCTACGCAGTCCTTCATTCTGTTTAACAATACCTTGTTGAAGACTTTTCCTTGTATTGAAGGAATCCTGAATTTAATAAATCTTATTAGTGTCAATAGAGGAAAATTGTAACCTCTGTATAAGCAAATTGTTTCTCAAGCAAATATACAACTATACATTTTGAATATTAACAGAAACCATTTTTAAGTTTCTGATTATTGATTGATATGTCACAATGGACTACTCTCGTTACTTGTGAGAGAACCCCTATAGTATTTCTTTCCATTCTCTAGATGTCAATTAATCAAGGAGACAAAACAGGATGTAAAACGGTAACGTAGTTAAATACCATGACTTATAAACACCTTAAAGGATATCTTGAACAACGAAACATGATAGAACACATGTACGGCCATACATAAGAAGTGGTTCATATATTGAAAACTTTGTAAAAATGAAGTCTTCATGGTCCCAGCTTGCGTATTCATAGATTAGACTATATATATAAACAATCATAAAACGTATTTAAACATTACATGAAATTAAAAAAATAACAGTTTTCATCTTCTCTTACAAACATAATGTACATACTTTTCGTTTTTGTTCTTTATGATCAGAACCATGACTACTACTAGCACCATTTAATGATAGATCAGATGAATCACTATCTGAATCAGATAAATCCAATGTATGCATTGAATGTGTTGATTCAATATCATCAATTGCTGTTAATGATGTATTAGAACCTTTTAATGTTGGTGTTTGACTATCTGATTGATTTGATTTATTATTATTAATAAGTGAAATATCTTTAATTGATAAACATTTTTCTAAATGATTAATTGATGCTTTCGGTATAACAACAGGACTAATATTCGCATAATGTTTCAATAATAATGGTTCTAAACGATATGCCTTGAAATAAATGGAAGAAAGAAAGAAAAAAACATGGAAAAATTTAAGAATGTCAACTGTCCAATTTCATTTGTGAAATGAGTTAACATACTATTTATTAGATATCTGGTTATACATCATTGAATAATGAATATTAGTTGAATCTAGGATTAAGGTTAATTGGATGTGTTTACATTTTTGTTGGGATGATCCAGAAAATTTCTTGCAAAAGACAAGCAAGGATCAAGAAACACTAAGACACTTTTCACCCAATCAGCGTTCATTTGAAGTTTTTAGCCAGAAATATCAATGGAGTGAAACGTCACATGTAAAGGTTCTGACTGGCTGATTTCTATACGGCTACTATGTTTAGTACCATTCCAGAATCTTCTAGCAACCAAAGGACATTTAAAATATTATAAAAACCCTGTATTTTCTGTATTGAAATAAACCTTAGAGTAAACTACTTCTCGCATACTTTGAGTCTTGTCTCTCGCGTTCAGGTCGGTGTATAGTTCTAGCTTGGGGGTTACAGAATAGCTCGGGAAACGAATATAGCGTTCAATTTGCCAGACTTGTCTTCATAGTGACTTAGATCTAGTACCTAACATTACAAATGTCATGGTGTTATGAATATTATTACTTAGAAAAGCTTAATACATAGAAATGAATTCGACTAGTCTCTGATATCATTTGAGTTACTTGAGTGAACGATTTAATATTTTGAATAAATGTTAACAGTAGATACAAACCATTGTCTACTTATTAAACATTATAACATTTTCTCTATGAAAGATAATTTTGATAGATTTCACATTATCTAAACTATATGGTTTAGTTGAAAGGTTTTCTCTTTATATACATCACACTTGATTATCAAAGAAGCGCTTTATTCAGTTAGAAATTCAACTATTAAAAATTACTACAATCTCCACAAACCCTCATTCTAACCATAATCAAAATGTGCTCACTAGGCACTGGATTCAAGATGGATTTCATGGAGTTCTAGTGAGAAGCCGTGACCAGTTGGAGTCTAATTTGTGTTGGGTAGAGACAAGTATCCACTTCAGACAATGAATAAAGGGTTGCGCAAGATCATGGATCAGTTGAAGTTAGACATTAAGACGAATGGATGTCGGCTCAGTGGTTTAGAGGTTAGGTAATTATTTTAACGACCTTGAATATTAATGGTTGTTGATGATACCTGTCATGTCAGTGTCTGAACATCTATTTCGGTGGTTCTCCTTTTTGTCCTGATTTATGACTTAATATTTGTCAATCATTTTTAATTGGATCAATGTCGATATTTTTATGAATAGCTGATTGACCTAAGTTCCAACCTTTAACATTTCCTTGGCCTTCTAAGTGTGTCATCTTCCCATGATCTCAACATTTTCTCAGTCGAACGTGTATATGCATGGATTTATATAGGCGAAGATTCATTTTGGCGTTTGATAAATAATCAGTTGTTATGATAATAAAGTCGTAGAGTTTAGAAAGAAAATGAAAGCATCATGATTCAATCACCTAGCTTATAGACACGCAATGCTATCCTTTTAAATTACAAATCTTTGCATGATTTACTACTTGTAGCATGATTATTAATGAGTTTTCATTGAATTATTCTACAAACACTGTTAGTATGGAATAGTTTCACAGTATTTGGGCATCGACTTGATATGAGACATTAAAGAAGAAGAATGTTGTATTTGTGAAAATCTCAGCAAAAGAATTTAAAGTAAATCCAACGTTTCGCCTGGTAATCTGGTCCAAGCTTTTTCAAGGAAATATATCTTTATCAGTTTAGGGGTTGTGGAGATTGTTGAGTTTTTTGATTGAGATCATGAACCGATTGATGTTAGACCACCGTGGAAAACCTGGAAGCACTGGACGGCCGTTTCGTCCCATTGTGGGACTCCTCAGAAGTGCGCATCCACGATCCCGCTCGCGGGATTCGGACCCAGGGGCGTCCAGTGCTTCCAGCTTTTCGATGGTGGTCTAAAATCAATCGGTTCATGATCTCAATCAAGAATATATATATATCTATCTTTATTTTAAATATGATCGAATAGTTTCACAGTATTTAGTCACCGAGTTGATGTGATTTCCTTGAAAAGTCTAGGACCAGATTACCAGGTGAAACGTTGGATTTACTTCAAATTCTGTCGCTAAGATTTTCACAAATACAACCTTCTTCTTCTTCTTTACTGTTAGTGTGGATTTTAAGTCTTGATGTAATAATATAAGTGATTTCAACTTTATTTGATTTAGTCACTTTAATTGAGAAGTATTTCATTTTCATTTCACATCAATGTTCAATTCAAATAGAAATAGGATCTTTAGAAATTGAAAACCTTTATAGCTTCATTTTCAACCTAATTACAATGATAGACAGCTGATCAAACTAATGTATTCTTACTCTCAATGTTAAGATGAAATACATGTGGATATCATACAATCACATATATATATATACATATAGATTGAATTCCTTTAATAATAAGTAGTAATTCATTTGTTAGCACAGTTACTTAATACATTCATGATACCATTTATTACTACAAATGTAGTCAACAACAACAACGACAAGAAACACTTGCAATTGTAAATCAATTCAATCTGGTGACAGTTTACAGCAATACATACAGACATACACACACACACGCACACACACACACACACCTAAGCACACATGCACAAAAAAGAGGGAATCTGGTTTATTTTAAAATGAAACAGATGACTTTAATCTCTTGTAGAGAAGAAAAAAAAGAGAAAAAAATAAATCTGTCACCCTCCTCTTTGTTCTTCATTAATTATCAATAATAGAAAAATTTTTTTCTTTTTAACGATGTGTAATCAATCCCTTTCTGTAGTGAAAAATTTTTTATCAACATAAGAAAATGAAATCCTTAATTGTTTGTTTGTTTGTTTTATTTTTGGCATAGAGATAAAGACAACAAAAACCAACACCATAATAAACATTCCAATACAATCATACAAGTATAGTGATTGTTGAAGTAAAAAACACGTTTGCACAATCGAAAGAAAAAGTAACCGAATAAAGTAACCATTATTACATAAAATATATCTGTATAGATATATATAATTGTATGCTTAAGGATATACATACCATTAACATATTAGTGTTCTAAGATGTAGAAAAATAATGCCATGAATTGAAATATCCAGTGTCTATTACCTGTTAAAGATATGCAGTGTAGTAAATAGTTTAGTTACATAATATAATATGAAATGATCTCTGTTTGGGTTTAATTACTTTCTTTACAGTAAATGAGTAAGAACTATCTAGGTGGTTAACAAAATACACAGACACACACACAATCATACTGATGGTATTTAGTAATAATGAAATAAAAGACATATGTATGTATATATATCAATAGTTGAGAGTATGAGTCAACTAAAGCTAAAGGTAGCTGGTTCGAATCCCACTTCCATCACCAAACTCCGCCTGGAGTCCCTCCGGGAGCTACTGCCGGTCCCAAGCCCAGATAAAGGGGGAGGGTTGGGCATGGGGTTAGCGACTCCATCCCGTAGAAAACTAACTCGCTAAAAAAACGCTGACTAGAAAAAAATGAAGCTAAACCACCATGGAAAACCTGGAAGTGATCTAGTGGTTAAACGTTCGCGCGCGAGACTAATAGGTCCTGGGTTCGAATTCCACGAGGCGGGGTCGTATTATACGCACTACTGAGGAGTTCGACAATAGGACAAAACAGCCGTCCAGTGCTTCCATGTTTTCCATGGTGGTCTAGCTTTATTTAACTCATGATCTCAACTATTAAAACTACTATAATCTCCACAAAACCCCTTCTGATATATATATATATTCTTCAATTCGTGACTGATCAACTGGATAGTACAACATTTTTGTAAGAAGACCTAACAACAATCAGAAGTTATTTCAATTCATTCGAACTACTGAATGACGAAGAAGAGATAAAAGCTAAGTGCGATATCAAGTGACAATCTAGATAATTTAATCATAAGATTCTAAATGGATCACAATAGAAAAAGGAATACTTTTATTTTTCCTATTGACTAAAGAAACTGTAATCAGAATAAATTTCATCATTTGGTGAATGAATATGAATTCAACTGACTTAAAAGTGTGATAGAAGTTATTTCAACCAATAAAATACTGTATGCCACTGGGTATAGTCTGTGTACTACCGGTTGTTTTCATCAATATAGATGAAATTTTCATTAGTCAATTAAGTGAACAAACCATATTTTTAGTGCAGATTATTAGACTTCAGTTTTGAGAAAGAATTTTCTCTGTTCTAATTCCATAGAACAATTCTTGGAGCGCCGTTCCTGCAAAACAATGATATTTTTTTTATCAAAACTAAAAGAGAAGTGAAAGACCAAAGAACATATTATACTGACAAATGTAGACAGACATGAGAAGAGTGAACAACATTAGGACAGAACAAGAAAGGATGGCTCAGGACAGACTGAGTTGGAGAATGCTGATCGGCGAACTATGATCTATTGGGAGTAACAGACGTAAGTAAGTAAGTAAATATATAACATGTCTCGTGGATTAGGGTATAGTTTTCTGTCAAATTTATAGCTAAAAAGGGAATTTATAATATATATTGTAGCAATGTACATGTTCTGTAAAGTGCTTTTAACATTCAGCAGTTGGTATTCTGTTTGATAATTGATAACTTATGAAAGAGAGTGAGATAGAGTGTTTGTGTATGTGTACTGTTACTCAACTTGTTGAAACTAATAAAACTACTACTTCTGTAAATACAATTAATTTAATGCTCATTAGAAAATTATTCTAATTTAATTTCAGATAACAAATAAATACTCGAAGTTCAACTGGTGAACACTAATATTTCAAAATGGGGATTTGTAGAGATTGTAGTAATTGATGAATCGATTCAAGTTAGAGCACTATTGAAAACCTGGAAACACTGTACGGTCGTTCCGTTCTAGTATAGGACTCCCAATCAGTGCGCCTCCACGATTTCACATATGGGACTAAA